TGGGAAGGAAATATTCTATAAAGCCAAACCAAAAGAAAAGCCACTTTCCTAAAGCTCTATAAAGAATATATTTTAGTTTTGGTAAATTAGGAAAAAACACAATTGTCTCCTTTCTTTTTCTGGGTTCCTAGACAAATCTCAAAGAAAAAAAATGTAGACAGGAGGTCAGCACTCATGAATCAGATTTCATCTTGATAAGCTTTTTATAGACCTGTAAAAAAGTGAAGCCCTGGAAATTGTGTTAGGTAATGGGGATTCTGACAGATGCCTTAAGTACGTGGAACTAGGAGGTGCTGCTATAATTCTGTGCTTCAGATGAAAATTCCAAGTGTTTTCATTAGGTACAACAGCTGTTTCTATTACAGATAACAGATCTCAGAGGTGGTGATGCTGATATCAACTTCTAGTGGGCTCAGAACACAGTGTAGCTTGTACAATTAGGTTTTTTTAATTATTTTTTCTGCACACACAAATGAACTCTGTAGCAGTAAAAGGAAATTACTTACTTGCTACCGAAATTATCTGAAAGTGATATGATCATCCTTTGTAGAGTCACATTAACCAAATTAAAAGCCCTTGGGAAAAATTTGGCACCCTGTTCCTTCCCATTCACATCTTCCTAAAGACCTCTCAGGAGCTTCCATTTAGAAAGCTAGGATCATTACCAGGGCTTTTAATTTGGAAAGATTGGCTGCTCACCAGTGAGTCTTTCTAGACACCTAGTGGTTGGGTAGAGTGGCTTTGCAATGTTCCATCCTCAGACACCTTGACTTTACTATCCTCCTGACTCTTGCTCGCTTGCAGGTATTTTCCAGCACAGGACAGAGATCCATAGCTCTGCTGCTGGAGCTTGTCTCCAAGATTGATGCTATCATTTCATTCTCTTTATGAATGCACATGTCACTCCTCCTTGGAGAAATGGAATCTATTCCTCCTGAGCCCAGGAATCTGGGCTGGTCTGTAACTACTACCAGTAGAATATGGCAAAGTTCTGGGCCTAACCTTTAAGAGGACTGATGGTTTCCACTGCCTTTCTTCTTGAAATAGTTCCTTTCAGAACCCAGCTGTTTAAAGCCTAATTCACATGGAGAGGCCACATGTAGGCACTCCAGTCGGCTGTCTCACTTGACTAATGTTAGTTGTTAACCACATGAGCCAGCCATGTTGTAGTCTAGTATGTCTTAGCCTTCAGATGACCCCAGCCCCAGGCATAGAAGCCATCTGATTGAACCACATGAAAGACACTGAGCAAGAACCACCTAGCCAAGTCTGGTCAACTCAGAATTGTGAAAGATAATATTGGGTTATTGTTCTACACCACTATATTTGCGATGATTTATAACACAGCAATACATAATTGCAATAGGGGCAAAGTGGGAAGCCATAGGCTAAGCATTCCTATGAATGTGGGCATTAAAACTTAGCTTAGTGTGAAGTGGAATTGGTGGTTGTTTATAAGATGGAGACGGGTATAGACAAATGTCAATTTCTCTCCATTTTTTGACTGGTCCTTGGAATTTCATAATTGGACTATTGCCCTATTATCACTTGGATTAATAAATACAAATATGTAGTGTACAAATGTAAATGTTTCTGGGATGGATAACGCTATAAGCCAGGGTACAGCAAACTTTTTCTATGTAGGGTCGGATAGTAAATATTTTAGGCTTTGTGAGCTATATGGTCTCCGTAGCAATTAATCACCTTGGCCGAGGTGACGTAGATGCTATATAAATGAATGACACAGCTGTGTGCAAGAAACTTTATTTATAAAAATAGGTGATTGTCTGGTTTCGATCTGTGGGCTATAGTTTGCCGGCCCCATGCTAAAAAATTGTTTTTATAGCCAACAGAGATATTTGATTATATTGTTTGAGTCTCATCAGAATTGCATTTGGTTTACCTCTAGCTCCAATTCCTCTTGCTATTTCTTCTGAGTCTCCTTTGTAGGGTTTTTCTTCCTAAGTTTGAAATGTGCTCCTCAAGGCTCTCTTCTCTTCTTATTCTATGCTCTTCTCGGCCATCTCAGCTTCTCAAATGATTTCAGTTAATATCAGTTTGCCAACAACTAAAAAATCTCTTTCTATTCAGTCTTTTATCTAGAACTCCAGACTCCTGTACTTCCCCTTGGATGTCTCGCCAGCATCCTGAGTTCAATCCACTTTTGTGCCAGTTATTAGCCTATAGTCTCTTAACTCCAAACCCACCCTTCTATGATTAGCTCTGTGATGCTGAGGGTTGGAACTCTGCAAACGCCATTTTTATTTTGCCAGCTGTTAGTCTCTGTCAATAGGAGGCATTAGAGGGGCATCGCAATGCCAAAGGAGAGAGGAGGACTTGCTGCTTCCTGTTTACTTGCTGCTGATTTCCTGTCTGCTTGGGGTTCCTGTGAGCATCTCTTCAGCAAGGCTTCTTTGCTCTAGAAAGTTATACTCTTTTCTGTAGTAGTGGTTGAATCTAGTTTTTCCCAAAGTTGCAGAATTACCTCCATTACAACTCCCTCCCCACTTCCGCCACCCTTCCCCTCCTCAGAAGTCTGGACCTCAACCCTTCAGGATTTCTCCTCCAAGCTCGGAGATAATAATAACACCAGCTGAGCAATGCCTCTTAGTGGGAGGTCTGAGTTTTGGTCCACAGCAGGGTCCTGCTTCAAGTTTCTAACTTTTAATAATTCCATCTCTCCTATTGGATTTCCCAGCCCTAATGGGTGGTAGCTGCTCTCTTTATTTATTTTTTTTAAAGATTTTATTTATTTATTTGACAGAGAGAGAGAGACAGTGAGAGAGGGAACACAAGCAGGGGGAGTGGGAAAGGGAGAAGGAGGCTTCCCGCCGAGCAAGGAGCCTGTTCTCCTTTGCTTTTTCAGTTACCTAGTTAACAGTGTCATACCTAGTTGACCATTCTTTATATTAAATTCCCTTTCAAATACCTGGAGTGGTTTCTGTCTCCTGACTGGACTCTGAGTTTATATTCCCAGCCCAAAGCTACACTTTTTAAAAAAGATTTTATTTATTTATTTGACAGAGAGAGAGAGAGCACAAGCATGGGGAGCAGCAGAGGGAGAGGGAGAAACAGGCTCCCTGCAGAGCGAGGAGCCTGATGTGGGGCTGGATCCTAGGACCCTGGGATCATGACCTGAGCTGAAGGCAGACACTTAACCGACTGAGCCACCCAGGCGCCCCCCAAAGCTACACTTTTGAAGTGCATTCTTCCTTAGTAAATGGCACCAGCAAATCTCTCCCCATGCCCTGTCCAGTGATTCAAACCCAGTGTCTGGACATCATTCTAACTTCTTCTGTTCTCTAAACTCCCTTACGCAATCAGTGACCAAGGACTGTAGATTTGGCTTCCTGCACGTTCCTTCTTTCTGTCTGCACACCCACCACCATAGATCAAGCCACTGCCTTATAATTGACCTAGCTCCTCAAACTGTTCTCTTACTATAGCCCTAGAGATGTATCAAAAACATTTTCCAGATAATTTCTGAAACATTCCAAATCCTTAACATCATTTATCAGTCTTTCTGTGATTTGACTTCTGCTTCTGCACTTCATCTTGAAATACGTTCCTTGCTCCTTTATTAGTTTTCTTCCCTTTATCAGTTTTTCAATTTGCCATGCTTTCTTTACACTCTTGGTACAAACTCTTTCCTCTTTGTAGAAATCTATTTGCATCTGGATAGCTACTATATATCCTTAAAATGTTGTATTAATATCACTTTCTCTCTCTCGTTTTTTAAAGATTATTTATCTGAGAGAGAGAGAGAGAGAGAGAGAACATGCATGAGCATGAGTGGGGGGAGGGACAGAGGGAGAGAGACAAGCAGACTCCCCACTGAGCAGGGAGCCTGATGTGGGGCTCAATCCCAGGATCCTGGGATCATGACCTGACCTGAAGGCAGATGCTTAACCAACTGAGCCACCTGAGCACCCCTGAGAGATGGCTTTTCTGACCTCTCAGAACAGATTATATTCCCCTATTTGTTTCTATAGATTATTGCACATCTACTTTTTAACTATAAAATTCAGTAAACTTGTAGCTGTATACTTGTCTTCTTTACTAGATGGTAAGGCCCATATAGGCAGGGGCTGTGTTTGTATTGTCTAGCATAATATCCGTAACACCCAGTGTTCTTTCCAGCACAGTAGATAGTCAACAAATATTTGCTGACTTCAGTTAATTTCTGTTCTGTGCATTTACCATAGGGCCTCTGAACTGAAGAGAAGACATCCATTTCCTCATTCTAGATGCACCAGAATCCATTGTGGCTGACTGTTACCTCTTAAACCAGAGGTTTCTTTGGTTTGCTCTTCTCATATCTGACACCAGTTTTCCCTTTATGGATTCTGAAAGTGATTGGAGGAGACTGAGTGGGGAGTAGATTGACTAGAATCTATCACCTTTAACTGGACTGGAGACTCAACATTATTTCCTCCTACATTGTCAGAGAGCTCTGTAGTGTCACACAAGTCTTCTGAGTACCTGGTGCTAGGTGCATCTCTGTGCTTGTTTTATTTAACTCAGGTAGCCAACGAAGGGATGTTCCTCTACTTCTTAACAAACAGTATGTTACTCCTCCACCCAAAACATCAATGTGCTAGTTTCTTTGTTGTTCCCTGAAATGTAGCCATTTCTTCTCAAGTGGGGAAAGTGTTGGGGGGTGGACTAAAACAGAGATGAGAGGGCTTTAAAAAAAATCTATAATAACCAATAATGAAGAAGCAGATAATGAAAATAAAATATGAAAATGAACATAAGAAGACCCATGAAAGCATATGACCACAATCTGTTGGAGAAGCAGACCCAAGGAAACATTGTATAAATCCATTTTGATTCTGGTGTTACTTCCAGGGAGATAGTTGCATTTATTTAAAAAGGAAAACAAACAGTAAAACAACCTGAGGAGCTTTCTTTTCTTTTTATCTTCTAAACAGATTTGACCCAAGATGGACATTTTCTTTGAGGATAATATATTTTTTCCCTTCAACTGAAAGTTTTACCTTTTGGATTGTATTCCACACACGTTCTTTATCGTTTCTTCTTCCTTCAAGGGTGTCCATAGCATCTGCCATTAGTGACTGCAGCTGTGGCACCAAGATAAAAATTATCAGTGTGGAATTCATGCAGAAATAACTTCTCTAAATACACAGATTAAAACCTAATTAAAAAATCATTTGTACGCTGATGATTTTATTACTCATCTTTCCGACAATGAACACTGCCACCTCGTCTTTGCTTCAGTCATTACCAAGTATTATTGCAGATATAAAATATTGTAACAATGGAAAGATTCTTCTTGAAAATTTGTAGAAAACATATAGGTTTTAATGTAGTAAGTGTTGATGTTTTGTAAAAAAACCCACAGATTTGGGTTGTAAAGAATAAAGGCAGTAGTTAATTCTCTCAGGAAATGGCATGTAGTACATGAACGCATTTTAGTATTTTCTCCTGAGGCTAATGTATCATAATTCTAGGCATCATGCAAAAGCTCACCCGAGGACAATACTAAAATTGTGCTGTTTTATTGCCTCTTAAAGGATGTTAGCTCATTTAAATTCTTTTACTGTTCTTTTATTTTCTAAAATTTCAAAATAACCAAGTTGCCTTTTTCAAAGGCAAGTTTAGAAAATTCCACCCTTTGCCCAAAACTGCCATATTCCAATTTAAAACAATCCTGTGCACATGCTGTATATGTGGCTGCAAAGTAATGAAGCTGCATCAAGCCCTGTGATAATCAAAGCTAAAAAAGAAAGTTCTCTAAATAAAACAAATGCCAGTTCAGTTCACTGTGGCATCAGAATATGAACTCTCAGATAATCTTCCTCTACTTTAGATATTGCAGAGCTTAAGCAGGAGGGCAGAGAGTTGAGTCACTCAAGACTCTTCTGAGCAGTCCCTGTTTATGTGGCACCATAAAAGATAAAAGATACTAGGATTTATTTTCTAGGTTAACCTATGCTTGGAAGTTGGAAAGTAAAATCTGTTACTTCAGGTGATGAAATCTTGCAAGATACATGATTTTTAAATATTTGGCCTATACATATACATCCACATACATTAATTTTTTTCCTAGTAGGCATATAAATTATGAAAATATCCCTTGAAATCCTATTTTCCAAGATTTCAGATAGTGGGCTATTGCACTAACATGTGAGTAAAAGATGTCAATAATGCGAGTTTGATGCTCTTTGTTTATATTTGGAAATATATTTCCAGAAAAAAAAAAGCTGCAGATATGTGGTTAAGGAAACCTAAGTGCAGGAAACTCCCCTGTATTTTTCATTTAAATCTTGAATGTGCTTTTCAGGAAGACAGGATCAACACTGTGCCAGCTTCTTAAATTAACATTTTCTTTGCTTCCTCTTATCTCAGAGGAGCATTAATCATCTAAAATTGGCTATAATATGCACTTTGAAAACTCCATACTTAACTGCATTCCTGAATGCCTTACGAGTGGCAGGATAAACACTTAGCCTTTTAGAAGGTTTTCCGCTGCACAGAACCGTAAAGGTTTAGAAAGTATTCTTGCCAGTTTTGACTTAGTAATTCCCTGATTAATAGACTTTTTTTCATCCCACAGTTTTAAACTTTAGTACGCATAGTTTTATTATTTGGCGAGTCAGACCATTTTATATACTTACTTTGAACGACGGTATTTATTTAATATCCTTTTACAGGGTCAGATGAACATTATAAATGTTGGCAGTTCATTTCTTGATGGATTAATTTGTTACAACTTTAAAGCTCAAAGAGGGAGGGTTGCTTTAGTTATCTGAAAATTACAGGTGATCAATTTGGGCTGTTCTCATCCCTGCTATGTGAATTCAGTTCAGGTCTATTATTAGTTTTAGCTACCTTCAATTAAAGCCTCAAAGTAAAGAGCCCTTCCCTACAACACATTAGGATCTCCATATACAGTAAATTTCACTTTTCCTTGAATGGCCCTCACACTGGTTAGTAATAGTTTTACAAATGAGGAGCCATCATTTCTAATATTAATTATGGTTGTAATATACACATCTGTTTGAAGATTGTTTCTGTGATTTATTCCTTCAACTAATTTTTGACTGGCTCTGTGTTTTCTGAGTTAATTGGTCAATTTAGTTTTAAAAAAACCACTTGACTAACTACATTTTCCCCTCCAATGAAACAACTGTTTTATCTAAATGTATCAGTGTGGGGGCGCTGGGTGGCTCAGTTGGTTAAGCAACTGCCTTTGGCTCAGGTCATGATCTCAGGTTCCTGGGATCAAACCCTGTGTCGGGCTCTGGGATTAAGCCCCATGGCGGGCTCCCTGCTCAGCAGGGAGTCTGCTTGAGGATTCTCTCTCTCCCTCTCTCTTTGTTCCTTGTCCCGCTTGTGCTCTCCCTCTCTCTCTCTCTCTCAAATAAACAAATCTTAAAAAAAAAAAAAGTACCTGCGTGTGTGTGTGTGTGTGTGTGTGTGTGTGTGTGTGTGTTGGCACTGCCAACATATATATGACACTAGAAATGAATAAGAAAACTACAAAGACTATTTTGTAGGGTTGGTTTTTATATAGCAATTACTCTTGTCCTCTCACCTTCCCCTTCAAGAAAATTATATATTAACATATCTTGAAGTTTAAGAAATAATTTATTATAATTACACTTTATTTAAAACAAAAAGCTTGATCCACGATATGAATAATCAGCCCTTTTCCATGTTTTTACACATCACAAAGTTTTTGCTATAAAAATGGAAGCTAGGCAATGAGAGCAAATAAAAGACAGAAACACCTTTCTACATTTTCCAGTTTCTTTATTAAAATGCCTCAGGAGGGTTGGGCAGTTTGCCCTCAGACTACATTGATTCTCACAATTTTTTCTTTTCAGAACATATCACTCTTCTGTTAGCCCAGGGCCCGTGAAAGCCTTAAACAAAGAAAAACACTTACCAATTCCGCCTCCTGTTGACTGATGTCCTGTAGATAGGGAATGGTTGCTAGCTCTGCCATTGCTTGATTGATCACCTGGGACTGCTCCTTTACTCTCTGCAGTCGGCTGAGGAGGCTGGCGTATTGCAACTTCTCCATCACACCTGAGCACCCGTGGAAACTCCCCTAGTCTCCCAGTAAAAGGAACTGTTTTAGAACAAAATCACAGAAATCGACATCTCCCTGGGGATTGAAGTCAGGGATTATTGTAATATATTTACATCCTTTGAAGCAATGGGTACCTAGCACAAATAAATGTTTGTTTCCATTATTTTAGAGAATCGTCTGTACCCTTCCTTCAAACAGATGAATGTATATAAAGGGGAATGCTTTGCAAGACTGTTCAGAAAGATTTGCTGGTGGCCCTGCATAAGGAACTTGGGCTGAGGGGAAAAGAGGGGACTGAAATTGAACATGCATTCCATTCTCCTAGTGGGGATCCCACAAAGTCGTGTTCGTTGAAAGAGGGTGACTTTATCTATGTCATCAAAACATCATAGGAGCTAAGAGTTGCCTGCTATTTTGTTTCTTTTCTTTTCTTTTTTTTTTAAGATTTTATTTGTCAGAGAGAGCGAGTGAGTGAGAGAGAAAGAGAGAGAGCACGTACAAACAGGGGGAGCAGCAGGCAGAGGGAGAAGCAGGTTCCCTGCTGAGCAGGGAGCCTGATATGGGACTCGATCCCAGGACCCGAGATCATGACCCGAGTGGAAGGCAGATGCTTAACTGACTGAGCCACCCAGGCACCCTATTTTGGGCTTTCTTAAAATTGGGCATACTTTTAATAAGGTGGTCCACCTATGTGTTTTTCAACTGCCAGCCATAAAAGAGGAGACATTACCTTCTCTAAAAATTTGAATACAAGTTGTACTTCTTGATAGGAGAAATAAAGTTTATCATAAAATTCTCATTTATATTAGGAAAAAGGGGGCATAAAGGGTATCTAAGAGTTAATAGAAAAGCTTTGGATTTCTGCTGTGTGTGTAGGATGGTAAGAAGTGGGAGGTTGCAGGAGGACTGAATTTGACAACTGCATTCTGCATCCTGGTGCCAGAAGAGAAAGTCTGGATGACCAGTGTTCCTTTATGACAGGGTTCCTCCTGGACCACCTGTACCAGAATCACAAGGTTTTTTTTAACTAGGCAGAGTCCTGGGCCTTCCTTGGTGAATCACATATCTCTTGATATGTGGCCCTAGGAACATGAAATTTAGCTAGGTGCCCTCTCCGCCCCCATATTTGAATATCTCAAATGGAAGTTGAACAAACCACCATCTTAAAGCCTAGTATCTGAACAAGGACTATTTTAGTTTGTGCATGCTTTTAAACAAATTTTACTCCCCAGACATTAGAGAAGGCACACATGGTTTTTTCTTCTTCAAATAGAATCTCTTCTAAAGAGAAAAATTATTAGAAACTGGCATTACTAAAGAGCATCTGCACTTCAACTTGAATTTGCAAAGCAGTTCCTTCTGAAATGTCATACTCATATTTTGATCGACACTGACCTCTAGAAGTTGGCACTTTTGTAGAATCTTGGTAATACAGGAAGGTTGAGCACCATTGCATTGTATTTGCTTTGTGTCTCCCTAACACCTATCTAATGGCCACTTGACTAATATCCCTCTATCCCTGCTAATTTGTTCTTTATGATTAATCATTTATCTGAAAACCTATAAACCTATAGGAGCAACGATTGCAAATTGTGGATTTGGGATCCCTTCTCTGACTTGACAAAATAGCTAGCCTACCCGTTTAGTTTAAACATGCAGCTAAACAATGGGATACTGTCAAATAGAGAAAAGCAAGTTGCAGGAGAAACTGTTTTCTTTCTGAAGAAAAATTGCTTTCTTTGTTCTTCTTTAAAATAAACAATGGGGCTCCTTGTAGGAAAGTAGTGTAGTGACTCAACTCCAAAGAGCAGAAACAACAGCAGTCTGCTCGGGAACATAATCTATCAGTGTAATTTTCCAAAACATCAGGAAAATAAAAATAGTGGAAGGCAATGGTGCTTTGTTAGCTTGATTGTCGGGTGCATAACAAAACAGGAAGTGCTCCATACAAATCAGATCCTAGGGATGGAACATAATTGACTGCTAATAGTCACCTATCCTCCTCTCCCCAAAGCCAAAGCAGCTGTGGGTATCAGGACACTAATAGATTAATATGTTACCTATGTAAGATGGGGGTCTTTGAGAGACAAAGTGGAAAAGAAATACAAATGATATCTAATGCCAGGAGGAATGTTTCAATGCTGTTGCTTTAAGAAGATAAAGGAAATAATGAAACATGAAGGAAGTAGCTTAAACATCTCATGTTACCAAGAGCCAAATCTAAAGGAGAAGTAGCCTTCCCTACGAGACTTCAGGAGTGATCAAAGGGGTCCTTAGCTGCTGGAGAGAGTGTAATAAAGTGGCCAAGATTGAAGCTAAAACCTCACACAGGTACAATGAAGGTTAGGTAAACAGCAAGCTCAAAGGAAGGCTTCAGTCAGAGATTTGCCTAGATTTAATAGCACGTATGGTTAAATGTTTGGCAAATAAGTGGTACTGTGTAATACCACCAGAAAGCAGAGCCCAAGTATTTGGAATATATTTCCATTTGACATACATATAGAAACATTAATTGCCAAAAAGGGAGAGAAAACGCATATTACTGTTCATTTCTAATGTGTATATGTAAACATTTTTTATGCTTCACTTAGAGGAAATTAAAAGTAAAATTAATGAAGTATTAAAAACATGGTTAGGTCATTTTTTGGCAAGTCAGCCTGGGAAGAAGACTTTATGCACAGCAAGAGATTTTATTATTTTAACTCTTTAAGATTTAACCCAGGAAGCACAGTCCATAAGGTTTGAAACTGACAGCAGCCAATACAGTTGATGAATGGAGAAGCACAGTGGCATCTGGTAGCATGTGACATAATTAGGACAAGGATCCAGAGAAGGAAAAATACCATTAGGGCAGAGCTGCTGGTTGAATGGGATTGCTGTTCAGTGGCATTAAAAGCCACCAGGTAGGATGGTGGTAGAATATTTGAGATTATAACCCTTACAATGTCAGAATCATTCTTCTTTGCCCACGTGTCATTGTTGTATGCCTAGGAAAAAAAATCTATAAGGATAAGGAAACTGGGATCAGAGTGTAAGGAGAATCATTGCCTGGTACATAGAGACCTCCCTCATACTCTCCTTCCATGATTTTATGGCAAGAGGTGAAAATTCACGTTCCCTGGGAAGGCCTACTGTGGTTAGTAGATCTACTCCATGGCTGGAGATGACACCTCTAATCCTGCCTTTGTGAGTAGATCTGAGCACATTAGTGATCTGAGGAAAAAAATTAGAAATCTATAAGACACTCGCGTAATCTTCATTTCAGAAGGACATATAGTTTCAGAGTACACACTTGTATCAAGAAAGAGAAAGGCCTATAAAACAGTCCTTTTGTCAAAGCACACTAAAAACCAATACAAATAATTAAAACTTCTGAAATCTGTAATGCTGAACAAAGTGCTTCAACATGGATTATGTACTTTGGATCTCACAACAACTCTGTGAGGTGGGCATGGCAGATATCAGCTTATTTAATAAATGAGAAAAAATAGCTCAGAGGTTAAATGACTTGCCTTAGGGTTACACAGACAGAGCACAACTATGGACAAAAGTCTTCATCTAGAGGTGTCACAAGTGAGGGTGACAACTAATAAGAACAATGCAATACCTAAACTTTCAAGTGGACAGCATTTGCTATGTGGCAAGGAAAAACACACTTCAGGGACTCTTAAAAACACTGTCGAGTGCTTCTTGGGTCACAGTTAATGGTACCATGTAGGAATAATTTCTACTCACCAACTCATTACTTGCTTCATTAAGCTAGGTTACCTTTGCAGCCAGTTTTATTCAGTCCTGGTTTATGGAGCTGTGGTTGGGCATATAATAAAAAAACCTAAAGGCCAATATTTGGATATACTTGTGGTCCCTGGGTACCTTCTGGCTCACTTGCTTCAATTCTATTAAACTCTTTGTGATAATCTTCCAAAAACTATTATTTTCCATAGAAGCTAACATAGAAATGTTGATAAAATTCCTTGTACAATACTGACTCATTTTAAAGAACACTGAGTTATTAATTAGATGCCAAGAATCTTAGTTATGGTTTTCAAATTTCCTTTAGAGACACCTAAAGACACAGGCATATACCAATTTCTAAGTGGCTAGAATGCCCTTTGAAGGGTGAAAAAAAATGAGTTAAGAACATTTAAAAAGTGCATGATGCCTAGATGGGCCCAACCTGCATACAGGACACACTGAGATATGAGCTGGCAAGAGGTGATGTGACCAGTGTCCTGACAAGTAACGAGGTATGGCAGGTATTACCCCAACAAGCCCGGACGGAGATCACTTCCACAACTTCTAGTACACTGGCTCTGCTAGGCTAACCATGAACCAATGAGGTAAAATAATGCTGTATGGTGATCGTTCTTGTTATCAAAGATTCCACTACATGCAAGGGTCTGATGATGACAAGGATGATGTATGTGGATCTCTAATTAAGATGGGAGGTTGGTGATGGTGTGTGTGTGGCTGGAGGAGGTTATGATAGAGGGTAAATTAGAGAACAGGACCTCAAATCTGTGGTAGAGCCAATGAGATTGCTGTAAACTGAACGTTTGTGTCCACCCAAAATTCATATATTGAAGTCCTAACCCTCAATGTGATGGTATGGTGATGGGGCCTTTGGGATTAGGCAAGGTCATGAGGGTGGAGGCCTCATGATGGGATTGATGTCCTTATACAAAGAGACACCAGAGAGTTTACTCTCGGCCATGTGAGGCAAGGTGGGAGTCTGCAAGCCAGGAAGAGGGCCTTCATCAGAATCTGACCATGCTGACACCGTGATCTTGGACTTCTTGCTTCTAGAACTGTGAGCAAACAGAGATGGATTTCTTCATAATAGAAATATAGGGGAGATAATCGAGTGGAACACAGTTATGGGGAGGGGGGAGCTGTGTGGTAGGAAAATGGGTAAAAATGTGCTTTTGTATTTGTAATGCATAGAATTACAAATCATGCAAATAGATTCAGGGTTTTATAGCTTTTCTAAAATGGTGAATAATGTTATTGAGCAGATAAACTGCTGAACAGATGTTAAGTAGCTGTTTGTGATGACCCCCTTGGTTCCCCTTGTAAGGTAAGAACATCAAATCAATGATGTAATACAGAAGCCACAAAAAGAAAATTCTTCAAAATTTCCAGCTTACAGGCCTTTTGAAAAATATTTTAAAAAGGGGGAAATCTGCAACATTTATAGCCTGTTAATGAGAAGTTCCCTTTATGTTCTTTCAGTATAATGGCTTAAATTTTGTAAAACAGCATAGCATAATTTAGGTCTTCTTTTGGGCTTTTTAACACTGAACAGTAGAAAGGGCATATTTTCCTCAGATCAGAAATAGGGATTAGATAACTTGCCCTGATGGTATACAAAGATCAATTGCCAATGCTTAGGGAAGCATCCAGTTTATCAGTGTGGTGTGGAGGCACTAGTTTGAAAACTCCAAATTCTTGTGTAGGTAACAAAGTAGTTATGCATAATAGCCCAGTATATGAAACAGGGAAACACTGTATTTACTAAAATTTTGTTATTGATCTGAAGTAAGAAATGCCCTGCAAACTTGAATTAGATAGCAGGAAGGCACAAAGAAAAAGGCTCTTCAAAGAGCTGGGTTGCCTGGGTGGCTCAGTCAGTTAAGCGTCTGCCCTCAGCTCAGGTCATGATCCAGGGTCCTGGGATTGGGTCCCACATCGGGCTCCCTGCTCAGCGGGGAGCCTGCTTCTCCCTCTCCCTCTGCCGCTACCCCTGCTTGCGCACTCTCTCTCTGACAAATAAATAAATAAATAAATAAAAATCTTAAAAAACCCACAAAGAGCCACTAGCCAAATAAGTGCTGGAAATTGCAAAGTGTAGCATTGTAGTATGTTTTAAAATATAAAAAAAAATCATTAGCTAAACTTTGCTTGGTTTTGCAGATGAGATTTACCATGAATGTTTCTAAAACCCTCCAATACTTGCAATATTTGTACCATAAACTTTCCGTACTTCTAGGATTGTCTAATATTTGTGCGTTGGACAAATATAAAAGACTCATATACTTACATTCAGTTGGGTGCTTCTAATAAAATCCAATATTGGCAAGATTCGCTTCCCCATTGTCTCCATGTGTCTCATTGTGTCTTCTTTGGTCAGCAGACCGAAGGGAGTTTTATGTTCTAAAAATTGTAACAATAAACTTTTATACTACTTTTTCCAGACTTCCATTTCAAAATGCTTTCTTTAGCAAGCTATAAACAGATATCTCAATGTTAATAGATATGAAATCTTTAGTGTAGAAACTAGCACCATCCCTGGACCACATGCATACCAATGAAAGATCTATGAGGAGAAAGGCAGAGGAGACATTGCCCTTTAGAGACTATCATTTATTCATTTTGTTGTGTTTCCTGATTGAGAGATCTAAGAGACAGCCTATAACAATTCATCCCTCTCTGCAGAGTATGTTTTTCCTGACTGTGAAGAAATGTCATAAATGTGTCTGATTGTCGTCTTGTTCCTCCCAGGTATTATTCAAGTGTGCAGATCCCATTGACCTTGAATGTAGCCTGAAGTTGAGCTAAGCCTCAGAGAATAGAGTGCCAGACAAAACACAAATCCTTAATTATGTGGGTAGCGTTGAAGGAAGAAATTCAAACTGTCGTGAATTTTGCCCACAAATCTGAGACTTCGACTCCATGTGAATACTTTCTTGAGTTTTGGAAGTTTCAACAGAATTACTGAATACCATTTAACTGTAATAACTCTTCAAGAGATCTAAGCTCTCGGTTAATTACATAAGAAAAGAGTGGAACAAATATCAATATAATAACAGATAATCCAAGTGATTTAAGTTTGTCATTGGCTATATTTTTGATTTCACATAAGTATTTTCGATAATTTTCTTCTACATTTGTTAATTGATTATGACAAAAACTTGTATTCTTAAGTGCCTTATGCTTAGGCACTGGTGATAGCGTGGTTGGGGTGAGATGGTTGGAGTGAGGGAGGCAGACATTCTAGAAACGTGCTGGTCTTGGGGGAACCTGAATCCCAGGTATTGTTAACTAGCCCACAAAGAAGATTGGAAGGAGTTCGTTATAACCTGATAAACATTTTTTGGGGTCCTAGCCCATCTATATGCTAGGCCTTATGATGAATAAGACTTGATGAAGAATGCACAATTCCTGCCTTGTAACAGCATTAAAGGATAAAAAGAAGTCCAGATGATTTACCTGTAAATGTAGGCAGCTTTCTACTTGATAGTTTTTCCAAAAATTTCCCATCTTCTTTGTTTTTGAACCCAAGAGTCAGGAGATATTGTTGGGGAGGAAAAGATGACCAGTCAACTGTCTGAGGCAATATGTGGAGTCCTTGAAGATCTGAAATACAACAGGAAATGAACTAAAGACTTTGATAACAAAGGGTATTTTTTTCTCTCCTAAGTTTTAGGAACTGTACTTGGAAGACATGATAAATATAAATATTAAAGGTACAAAGTAAAAGTATATGTATCGAAATGTCAAATAGAGACTATCATTATTAATCTATCAAAATCGCATTTCATTATTTATACTTTTCTTAAAATATAAACACATACAGAACATAGTAGTAAAATATGGTTGGGTTACATGGATCTCTTTCCCCATATTCAAAATAATAGAAAATTGAGGACCAGCTTGCAGGCTTAATAGTTTTCTGTGTGCTCTTTTCAAGAGAATTTGATTTTTCTGTTCATAGTTTAAGATTTAAAGAAATAATGTTATATGAAAGGAAAGAGAACAATTACCAAGTGAGAATTAAAATATCAGGCTAATTTAGTTACCATCCCTCCCATAGCTGAAGAAAATTTGAAATGACAAATGTATCAACTTTTGCAATTAGACTTGGAAATAATTCAAGTGTCATGAAAAAGTTTGTAAAACAGACTCATATACTTACTGACCATAAGAGCTATTTACTGAGCCCTTACTTTCTTCCTTCCCTTCTTCTAAGTACTTTGTGCAGATTGTTTCTCTTTCTCTCTTTTTTAAATTTTATTTATTTATTTATTTTTGTGCATAATTGGTTTTTATTTATTTTCTAAAATATTATATTGTGTTAATCACCATATATTACATCATTAGTTTTTGATGTAGTGTTCCATGATTCATTGTTTGCGTGTAACACCCAGTGCTCCATGCAGAACGTGCCCTTCTTAATACTCTCTCTTTTTTAAAAGATTTTATTCATTTATTTATTTTAGAGATAGAGGGAGGGAGGGAGAGAGAGAATGAGTAAGCAGGGGGAGGGGCAAAGGGAGAGGGACAAACAGATTCCACTCTGAGCAAGGAGCCCAAGGTGGGGCTCAGTCCCAGGACCCTGAGATCATGACCCGAGGCAAAATCATGAGTTGGGGGCTTAACCGACTGAGCCACCTAGGTGCTCCAGTAGAGTGTCTTTTTAAATCCTCATGATAACTTTACAAAATTGGTGCTATTGTCCCCATTTTATGAATAGGAAGTTGAGGTACACAGATGGGAGGTGACTTACAAAAGAACACAACCTATAAGTGGACAAAGCAGGATTCACATCTGGCGATCTCACTCCAGAGACCTAACCACTGTATTCTGCTTCAGGCTTGCTTGGATCTTGATTACTTTCAATATAGGGACAGATGTCATCTGTGGAGTCTTGGTGGCCAGATTCACTTAATTCATTTCCATTCTGAGTAATAACGTTTTGGCTAATTGTGATAGACTGCACAAATGAAGGATGATGAACAGAGGATTTAATGAGCTCTCCCTACTTAACACTGCCAGAAAGGGAAAAAAATGAAATTCCAAATATCCTTGAGTTATGATTTAGTTAAAGGTCAATTTTTAATGTAGAATCAGAAATTAAATGGTAATGATTCAGATATAGCTTTCATTATTTATCTGTAATATGTCTTTAAAAAATAATAGACGCAGGGGTGCCTGGGTGGTGCAGTTGGTTAAGCGGCCGACTCTTGATTTTGGCTCAGGTCAAGATCTCAGGGTCCTGGGATTGAGCCCCTCGTGGGGCTCTGAGCTCAGCACAGAGTCTGCTTGAGATTCTCTCTCCCTTGCCCTCTGCCCCTCCTCCTGCTTGTGCACTGTCTCTCTCTAAATTAAATAAATAAATCTTAAAAAAATTATAGATGTAGTAAACCACGAGTGTTTTTATCCACCCTCCCTGGCATCCTCCATTCTTGTTTTTAGCTGCAGAACCCTTTGTTCAAACTAAATTTTACTAAGAAGCCTCATATTTAAAGTTGCTAAAAGTAGAGCTGTTCTGTTTAGAGCCTGGGACACTGACCACCCACCCTAATGATTACACCCCATTCTACACCTCACATGCAATGGCCACCTTAAACCCTTCCCCAGAACAATTTTTCAAAGCTCTTTGGCACATTTTGGTTAAGTAAATAGGGTATGCTTGTCAAACAGAGAGTTAACATGTATGCTTACTATTGAAAAAATTAAAATATCACACAATATCTTTTAAACACACAGAACAAAATATATTAGACAAGCTTTAGCCTTTCTTTGGTGACTCAAGATCAGAAATACCTTTAGATTTTTGAGGGCTAACATTTATCTGGCACTTCTGTGCTATATACTTTTTCAGGATTATCTTTTTCACTAACAATCGTGCAGGACAGGGCATATTATTATGCCCAGCTTACAGATGGCAAAACTGAAGCTTCAAGAAGAGGTTGCAAACTTGCCTAAGATCACACAGTGAGAAAATGGAGGAGCCAGAATTGAAAGTCAGGGAGCTGGACATCAAAACTTAACTCCCCAAACTATCCCCAGGACAATTTAGTCATGAGAATAACCATCACTCTGAAAATCAATGGGAAACGTGTTCCAGAAGCATGGCAATGCCAATAAATAGATGGTTTTAACAGACACGATTCTAGATAGAACATTTCCTACCCTGTCTAAAAAAGTACAGCAAGCACACAAGGGTTCTCAGAACTAATAGAATAACTTTTGTGTGCTTTAACGTGCAGATTCAACATGCCTCTTGAGTTGGTGTTTGAATTACGAATGGCTTCTTCTTAAAAGGAGGTCTCATTTCTATAAACAAGGTAAAAATGTGAGTTCTGCCTTTCAATTTCAAAAGTGCTGGAAGTTTCTTTGCTTTTGAAATCTGCATTAGATCATCACAGACACACCTAATACTGCTTGCTTCCAACCTAATACTGTCTTGCTCTATACGGTAAGGGAAGAGTTTGTCAGTTTTGCTGAAGTTGCCAATAACCAGATCACTTGAAAAGGCAACAAAGTAAAAATAAAAAGGACACTAGCTCACCCTCCTGATATATGGTCATCACATTTCTTTTGATTGTGGTCATCCTTTAGCACTCTATGAGATGCCAGCATTTATAAATTGTCAGCATTTTCAGCAATTGGCATACTCTGCAGATTGAGGCCAGAAGGTATGGGATCCCTGGCTATGGTTTGCTTTTTAATCTGGTTTTGATCCCTGACTTAGAAGGCCTGAGGGCCTCCAGGCCATGCTGGGGATGATGTTGGGGGCTGTCCTATGGAAATGATCTTGGCTTCTTGGGTGCCTCTGGAAGGCCAGAGGCCCCCGGAATAGGTGTGGGAAGGCTTTATGGCTGCTCTGACCTCCACACAAACCCAGAGAGCATCCAGCCATAGAAGCTTCTGGATCCCAGGGCTGAAAACTGTTAGCACAGGGAGGTCTCCTGGCAGGACACCTTTGAAACTTTAAGGCCTACACTGAAGTGATAGGAGGCCCCAGAGCAGCGAAGTTCAGAAGTGACTGGGGTATGTTTGTAGTGGGTTTGCAGGGAGCATCTCGAGATTTGTCATTTTCTGGTGCAATTCTATTGCCAGAAGCAGCCAGATGTTTGAGAGCTCGATTATATAAATAACAGGAGGACTTTGAGAGGTTGAATTCTTCTTGCTCATAAATATTGGGTGGATAAAGAGGAGACTGATACTAATAGTGGCAGTGATTAGATTGACTAGTGAAACTAATGTCAGCCCTATAGCTAATTTATTATAAAATATGCTTGCAAAAATAAAAGTATTTTCTGTTCCTTTTGATCCTATATGTTTCATCTTGTGTGTTCGATCTATTATTAACTTCTAGTCGAAGTTTTAAAACGTGAGAGGCCCCTACATTCATACTGTTAAGTTTAGAAAAAAATATTTTTTAAAGTATCACTCTTATTTGATTTGTATGCAGAGTAAATTGCAGTTGGATGAACATTTAGCCTAACAGGTGGTCTATGACCCCAAATGACGACATACTTACCAGATGTTGAATCTCATGTAACATTAATTTGAGTGCTAATTGTTCACAATTTTATGCTGATAAACCTCTACCTACGTCCGAAAAACCCTGTGCCCCTGATGGATATGAAAGTTAACCAGATTGTATTTTTTTGTTCTTTGGTAGGAAAGTTGAATTGATTAAAAATGTCTTCTATGCTTCTGTCATGCCAGAAGAACTGAGAAGAAATAAATACCTTAATGCAACCTTTGAAAATTTATCGCAATTAGAGATGAAATTTAGATGACCATGACCAAATTTATTATTAAAAAATCAGTTTGCAGGTGTGACATAGTTCCAAGTTTTTACCACTAGGGCAATGGATGCTTTAAGAAAGAATATCAAAGATAGGTTATGCAGATTACGTTTCCTGCAGGAACGTAATCTTGCAATTCTTTTTGAAAGATGTCTCACCTCAGCAAAAAAGGATACAGTTTGCCCTTTATCATCGTACTGCAGAAGGCTGGAACTGACCAGTTTTCAGGTCTTCAAGTCATTCATGCAGCCTGACCTTCTGTAGTATTGCCCTCCTCCTCCTCCTTGAAGTCACCTCCCTGGAGTTCAGTGGCAATCTCTTTACTTGCTTTCTCTCTGTCTCTGCCTGCCTCTGCTTCCCCCTCGCTCCTACACATACACACACACCTTCTAGTTCCTCTTTCTCCCTTGCTCCTCCTGCCTTCTCAGTCAGTGCTCTTCCAAGCTGTCCCTGGCTCACCGATGAGTTCTTCATACACACACTCTTGGGGGCTTTCTCTATTTTTGTGGCTTTAGCTACTACTTCTAAACAAAAGGTTAGAGATCAAAGCTCTAGTCTGGCCTGAAAAATCTTCACCAAATTCAAACACAGCATTTCCAAATGCCTCCTGGGACATTGCTATTGGCTCCTCATTACAGAAATTACTAGAAGGCAGCAAATAGATTCTTCAAAAGTGGTTTTTATAATCTCCACAACTTCCCTCTTCCCTGCTTTTCACTGATGTGTTGTAAGGATAGCCATTATTCACCCAATTATTTGGGCTTAGAATCCGGAAGCCATTGTTGACTTTTCTTTCGTCTTATCTCTGACATTTAGTGAGTCTCAAAAACTAATT